GCTAAAAGCTTTCTGTCCACGAGTTACCTGAAGCCCCCAAATTATAATGCACCAGAGTGCTTTAAAGGGACCCCCCAGGGATCATCTACTCCCACCCCCTCATTTTCAGAAGAGAAAACTGAGGCCCAGAAAGGAGAATAGGTGAAGGCCAGGCTCCCAATTAGTTGCACAAGTCCTGCAGCTCTGGGTGATATTTTGGGGTAGGACTCCCTTCAGCTTTTGTTAATTCTCAATGAAACCAGTGATCAGGGTACAGGGGTGGGGGTGGTCTGGCTTTCTCTGGTCCTCTAGATCACACAAAAGTGACAAGTATGGCTCTGAATGGAAGAATTTTGAGGATGGCTGAACCCAGGGGGCAGGAGAGGGCCACACAGTTTCAGCTTTCAGTAAGCCAGCGTCCATTTTGGATAAATGGAGGCTTCTTGGGCTTTCAGATGGTGCAACATGATCACTGAGGACCCTCCATTTTCCCCTCAGTCAGGCTGGAAGAACTTCATTTCTCAAGTCAGAGGAAGCAAGAAGTTTCCCAGGGTCTGACCTTCTCCACTGAACCCCAGCCCAGTGTTGGCTTCTGAGAGAATGCAGTTCCAGGTGGAACACCAGCTGCAGAGGAGGAAAAAAAATTTTTTTTTCAGACTCTTTAGCATGGCAGATTCCCAAGTCTGTTTCATCAGCCACATTGTCCCTTCGTTTTCTAAGCTCACATTGCTTTTGAGGTTTAACTCTTCAGTGCCTGATTTCAGTGACTGTTTTTGAGCAGTTGCTCTAAGGAAGAATTATATATAATGGGATGAGCATTTGACTTGGAATCAGAAGACCTGGTTTTTTGTTATTTTTTATTTCTTAGCTATTGCTAATTGTGTGAACTTACTAAAGCCCCTTAACCTCCCAAAGCTTCAGTTTCATCATCTACAAAATGCAAATAATAATACTTGCACTACCTACCTCACAGAGCTGTTGTGAATTTTGAATAGGATTATGGGTGGAGAATATTTTGTGAAGTGTAAAAGGCTGCATATTTGGGAGCTATTATTAATAGTATTTAATTAACAAGCATTTATTAAATTTCTTCTATGTGCCAGGCCCTGTGCTAGGTGCTGTGGTTACAAAGACAAAAATGAAAGTGTCTGCCCTCAAGGAGCTTGTATTCTAACAATGGGCAGTGGGAAGAGAATACGGAATATATAAGTATTTACAAAATATGGGCCAGAGCTGTGATTTCATTGATATAGCTTCCTATCAGCTTCTACCCTGGAAGTTCCTCTGTCAAGGCAGACCAGCATCTTCTCTGCACTTTGAACTCTTAGTGAGTTTCACTGAGAGACCAAGGGACTTTGCAGGATCACAAAGCTAGTTTGTAGCAGAGATAGGATTTGAATCCAGTTCTTGCTGACTCTAAAACTAGCTGTCTATCCACTATACCACACACCCTCTCATACAAAATTTTATATAGAGTCTAGCAATTGGAAGAGAAGTATCATAAGTTTCTGTAAAGTCTGCTTTTGGAACTCAGGCCTGCTTTTCCCAAGAAGCCCTTTGGCATGAACCCAGTTCATTATCATACTATCTGACCACACTCTTGCTTCTAGGACACATTTAAATAACGTTTAGACTTCCACATTTCCATTGATTACATGTTAATATTCTTTTATCTCTTGGAGAGTAAATTCCTTGAAAACAGATGTCGTGCCTCTTCTTTAATATGTAAACCAAGAATCTTGCATGGTCAGCTCTGAGTTTGTGAAGGGGGTCATTTGTTTGTCAAATGTTTGCAACTTGGAGCCCATGGTCCCATAAAAAACTCACAATATGTGGTAGCCAGGTTCTCAGACCAATCCACAAAATCCTCTTTAACCTAGGATATACCTGAAGCATAGCACTTTAATAAAAACTTTCATTTGAATGTATCTTTTAATCAACTCTCTTCTCACAATGATCCTGTGAGGTAAGAACAGTTATCATTATCCCCACTTCACAGGTGATAAAGTTGAAGGCAGGAGACATGACAAGATCTGGCCAATTAGTCATTAGTTATAGTGATTAATGAGGCAGCTAGATGGCTTAGTGGATAAAGTTCTGGGCTTGGCGTCAGGAAGACCTGAGTTCAAATCTGACCTGAGACACTTACTAGCTGTGTGACCCTGGTCAAGTCACTTCCTTCTGTTTGCCTTAATATACTGGAGAAGGAAGTGACAAGCCACTCCAGTATCTTTGCCAAGAAAACCCCAAATGGGCTCATGAAGAGTCAGACACAACTGAACAACAAATCGTGATTAATCAGCAGAGCTGGAATGGGAACCCAGGTCTTTTGATTCTAGATACAGTGTACCTTTTGTTTTACCATGCTGGCTCTCCGTTACACCATGGTGGCATGACCACCATGTCTGGAATATTTTTTTTGTGAGAAATGCATTTAGAGTTGCTGATTGGGATCCCAGAGCCCCATCTCCCCTCTCTGCAGTCTCACCAGTAGGAGCCAAGATTCCTCTGCTTCTTGCTCATTTGTCAGGCTGTAGGAATGAGGATTTTCTCAGCTCAGAGCTACTGGGCCTGGCTCCAGGGGCCTGTGGGAGGCACTCTAGTTTTGGGGGGAAGTAAACTGGGAAAGCTTGATGGGAGGGTTGCTGGGACTCTAGGGAGTCACTGTAGTCTAGACCAGTTCCCTTTCCCCTTCTTGCTCTCCCCCTTCTGTCTCCCCACTTCCCCTTTTTCCTCCCCTTCCTCCCTAAAGTTTTAAGGATTGATCTGCTTGTTGCTTCTGACTAGGATTTCTCCCTCCCTGACTTACTGAAGACCAGAACAATGTCTCAGCTTCTGTCCTACTTTTCTGTCCCTGATGCTAGGAAATCATACTTTTTGAGAGTGGGGATTGTTTCGTTCTTTGTATTTATATCCCCAGTGACTAGCACATAGGATGTGCTTAATGATTACTTTTTGATTGGCTGACTGATTGATGGGTTGAAGGCCTCTATGGGTTTTCACTGCTACTTGTGCAGAAAACAGGGAATAAAATACTTTGCCCTTCCTTCTCTTTTTCATTTTAACCCTGTAGCCCACTACAAAAAGATCCACACTTTAGCTACATATAGGACTGAAGTGAAATAAATGTGTATTTCTGAAGAAAAGTACCATGATACAATAGAAAGGGGAGGGCATTTGAAGTCAGAAGACCCGGGTTCAAATCCCAGCACTGCTACTTACTATCTGTGTGACCTTGGTCAAGTCACTTAACTTCCCTCAACTCCAGTTTCTTCACCTGTAAAGCGAAGAGGTTGGATCTGTTGACCTCTAAGGTCCCTTCTAGCTTTAGGGCTATGAACCACTAAGATCAATTCTCTTGTGTTTTGCATATTTCTTTATAGGAGCAGGATCAAGCCTCCGGGAGGATAAGGATATGGAGCAAGGTTAGGGAAGCTAACTTTAAGACCATTGCCGGAGCTAGGTTTTGGGGTGAAGTGTTTACCTTTCTCTTTTCTACTGTTCTGACCCAGAATTTCAAATGTAGTGAGAATCAAGGACCAGGAGTGGTAGAGATGGGCAGTCCCAGGTAGCTACAGAGCATGAAGCGGTGAGGGGAGGGAGAAGGGAGAACAAGAGGCAAATTCCAAGAAGCAATGACAAGAAGTTCCTAGAATTCCTGGGTTCACTTGGTGGGGTTGCATGTTCTCAGGCAGCTATGTATATGTATAGAAAGGATATATTTAATTTGGGGGTACATCAGACTGGGACCTCTCTGTTTACTCCATGGGACCCCAGAATCACTAAATCCTTATTGACTGAAGTAGAATGTTAGATTTCCCCCCAAAGATAACAGAATATCTACATTGGTCTTTGAATGGAAGCTAGAATGAGAAATAATCACCTAACCATTAATTAGTGAGCTGGCCAACAGTGTGTTTGTGTGTCTGGCACTATGCCAGTGCAAAGGCCCATACACAAGATTTAAAAGTCAAGGTCCCTCTACCAGAACTCAAGGAGCTTAGTATCTAACCAGGGAGCTAAGGCTTATAAGCATCAAACAATTAGAGAATAATATAAAGTTCTGTAATTGGGTGAAAAAATTGTATTCCCCAGACTGTAAGCTAATCCAAAGTTCAGAGGAAGGAAAGGTCATTATTAACCAGAGTAGTCAGAGAAAAATGTTGGAGGAAAGTGGGTCTTGACTTGGATCCTGAATGATAATAAAATCTGGAAAGGTTGAGTTTATGTATGTGAGTATGGGGTATAGAGTTGGGGTGGGGTAGGGATGGAAACTGTAGGCTATGGGAAAAGCTGTTATGACCCTTGCTCAGGAGGAGTGGTCTCTGATTGTACAGTCAGAGATACAGCTGTTTGCTGAATCGGAGGCATATGTCATCACAAATTATACCCTAGATATAACATGCCTGGCTCAAGGGGAGTGAACTAGCATGGTTACAGATTGATAAGAAACTGAGGAGCAAAGATATCACAGATCCCTGAGGGGTCAGTCCCAGAGAGTGGGGTGGCAAAGATCACACAAACACAGGTGAGAGGAACTTGTCCCTGGGTTCTGTAGATCATTTCTAAGATCCTTTCCAGCCGCAAGTCTATGATTCTAGGAAACCTGACAATCAAAGCTCATAGCATAGTTACATCCTAGAGTCCTACCTGGCTCATCTTCTGCCTTGCTCTTTACAAAAAGCTCTCTGTTGAATTGCATTGATCAGTTTCAAAATATACACTAGCCATGTTTGCCTCCTTCCCTTAAATACCTAGTGTAACCCATGGCAGAAATACTCGTACGCACCATCTGGTAGCCCATATCAGCTAATGTGCTTACAACAAGTTGAGCAAGGTCCAGGTGGGAATTAATATAAGGGGTGTGGGATGCTGGAGGGTGAGGGGAATATTAAAGAGGCTTTGTATTAATTAGGTGAACTATGGTGCTGGTGTCCCTCATGGTTGGTAACCCCCTGGCAGTGTCAAACTGTGTCTTTTGCACATAGAATTACCTAACCAGTTCCTCCCTTGCCTTGCAGGTCCACTCTTTCCAGGTGCTGTAATGCTCCTTCCTTTCTCTTCACCACCCAGAAAAACACCCCTCTGGGCACAAAGCTCAAGTATGAGGTAGACACCAGTGGCATCTACCACATCAACCAGGAAATCTTCCGCATGTTTCCCAAGGTGCTGTTGTTTTTGCATTCTTGAAAAACATTGGGGGAGGGCAGGGGGAAGGATTGTGTTAGATGGAGGGTCAGACATAAGCCTCAGCTCTGCATTCCCCCAGTGGTTATTGTTTCAAATCACTAATCATTCTTGGCTATCCATTGCATGGATAATTCTTTTGACCCCAGATGGCCACTCTTTGGGTCCCAACTGGCCACTTGCTAGGTTATTCATGTTTTGACACATCATTATTTGAGTTCTAATGTGTCCATTCCTTAAATTCCAGTTGGCCAAAAGTTGTCTGTATAGAAATAAACCTTGTAGGTTGGTCGAGATGCCCAGTTCATATCTTTGAGAATAGTAATGATGATAACATAATAATAACTGTTATCAAGCCATTATCAGGCACCTTATTGTACATGCTGTTGTGTAGGGCATCATGCAGTGAACACATCACAGACTTAGTCATTGCCTTCTAGGAGCTTATAATCTAAGACAGGCATAATAACACAAATTCACACATAAAAGAAGTATGCATAGGTAATGAGGTAACAACAAGCTAACAGAGAGCAAAGCAGTAAAAAAAATGTCCATTTTGTATACATGATGGGAAATTTTTTTTTTTTAGAGAGTAGCGGGGGATGGTGATAAGAAGTGGAAAGGATGGGCTGGGAAACCAGGTAGCCCATTTTGTAAAAATTATGTTTAAAGTAAGAGTGAGTAGCTCTGAGTAAAAGTTAAAGTTCATTCTTTACATTATAGCTCTGGGACAGCTTTAGGTTAGCAGAAACTGTGGGATCTGAGAAATGTAGGATCTGAGACCAGGCAGGGCAGGGACAGCAGAAAAATAACCTCTTTCTTTTCACATGCCCCCATTAACCTAGGAAGGCTTCAAGGAAGAAATATATTTACATATTCTTTAGTATTTTATTTATTTGGCATCATTCAAAATGAATGTTCTAATGATAATCATAATCAATAATTCATACACACACGTGTCACTTTAAGGTGTTCAAAGTACATAATTTTCTAGTTAAGCTGAAGCTTATCCCTTTGAAGCGCCCAGATTTTGTTTCTTGTAACTATTCTAGAATGAAATCTTTCTTGAATGTATTATATTCTGTCCTGGCTTCCTCAACAGAGAATGCAGACATAATTTAACCTTTTCTTGATGATTCAGCTTCATCGTTCCAAGCATCAATTATGGTAGCCTGCTGTAAAGAGAAGCACAGATCTGCTGTTTTTGATTTTCCTGTCTCTTCCCCTGCTGTCAGCTGTCACCTCTATTGCTGTCATCTGGTCTGCTTCTAGCACCACCCTTCCCCCAATTTCTTGATCCTAATCTGCTATGGGCTGGGAAACCAGGTAGCCCAGTTTGTAAGAATTATGTTTAGAATAAGAGTGAGTAACTCTGAGTGAAAGTCAAAGTTCATTCTTTACATTATAACTCTGGGACAGCTTTTGGTGATATTTAAAGACTTTCTTTTCCTCCTTTTCCTCATCCTCCTCTTTCTCCTTCTTACCCTCCTTTTCTTCTTCTTCCTCTTCCTAATAAATTCTCTCTATATAGTGAAGTGAGAGTGTTATTTTATAAGGTATATCCCATAACCTCAACCTCATCTTCCAAAAAGCTCAGGCACTGAGTTCTAGTCACATTCTTAGGTATTAGAACCCAGGAAGAAATTGGTTTGTTCATTTATTTCAGTTGTATCTGACCCTTTGTGACACCATTTGGGGTTTTCTTGGCAAAGGTACTGGGGTAGTTTGCCATTTCCTTGTCCAGCTCATTTTACAGGTGAGGAACTGAGGTCATCAGGGTTAAGTCCAGGGTCACAAAGCTAGTAAGGGTCTGAGACTGGATTTGAACTCAGAAAGACCAGTTTCCCTGACTCCAGGCCTGGCACTCTGTGCACTATGGCACCACCTAGCTCCCAAAGACTCGCTGGGTACATTCCATTGAAAGGAAAATGTAGGACCTTGGAGAATAGAGTGATCAAGTCCTGTGAGTCTAGAATGTGCTGGGGATTGGAACTCTGATCTCTCAGCTGCTTTTCAGGGAGCCAAAAGAAAAGTTCGATGTGTTCCAAGTCTTGTCTTACACATCCTGTAGAATATACTGAAAGTGTGGGGAGGAGGGAAGAGAAAAGGAGGATGTGAGGCAAGATGAAAGGGATGAGTTGAATGCATCTTCCCAAGTCAGCAAAGTCAGAGGAAGTGCTGTTTCAGTCAGTTTATAGAAGCTAGATGACATAAGGATATTGTATGTCCTCCTAGGGTAAAGCTATGAGTCTGCTGGCATCTATCAGGTGACCAGTGGTGACCTGGGTTAGAGCCTCATGGTTTGAGCAGAACAGTTTCCTACAGGTGTGGATAATTAACTATTTGTTTGGGGACTGGGGGAGGGGATGACATCACATTTAAAGGGAACACAACAGGGATTAAAAAAAAAAAGAAAACAATAATAACTGAGTCATGTAGTAGTTCCTTTACAGATGATCTTGTTCTTCCCCCTCCCTGAAAAATTTAAGAAGTTCCTCTCTTCCTCACTCCCAACAGGCTATGTCCACCCTCACCCCAATAGGATATGGCCTGGTGGAGAGCCTCACCCTATGCAGTCCATTCCATTTGCAGTCTCCACACCCTCCCCATCAAGAAAAATGCGCAATGAATATGAATAATCACCTAGAAACAGGCTGCAGTTCAGCTTGGGGATCTGACTGCATTCATTATTATTTCAAACCAATGTAATTTTCTACTAAGACATAAGCCTGGCTCCTTGCCAGTGAGAGTGCTGGTATCCTGACACAAGCCCAGGGTCCCCAGCTGTGTTCATTCTCAGGGACTTGCTTGCCCAACTTGCCTAGATCAAGGATGTGGGAGAAAAACTATTGAAGGTCAAAGCTGAAAGGACGCTTAGAGATCATTTTAGCACAATGCCTAGCACATAATAGGCACTTAATAAATGTACATTGACTGACTGATTGATTTGGCTCAAATTCATCACTTGGTAGATAAAGAGATTGAAGCTCAAAAAGTGGGATGACATGTCCAAGGTCATACAACCTTTTCATAGAACTTGGACTAGATCCCAGGTCCTTTGAATCCTATTCCATGGTCCTTTCTGTTTGAGGATGTTCTGGTACCTGCGTTCCAGATCTCTCCTTGAGTAGCCCATTGAATCATCAGAATTGGTTCTGTGCTTTAGCTTCTCCTCCTTTTCCAAACACATGTCACACTAGGTGCCAGTGTGACTTTAGTCTGCCGTAGGAGACATACAGTGTCAGAACACAGGATATATCGTGCAGCCCCACTGTGCAGACAGGCCAAGTGCAAAGTTTTTGATTCAATTCTGTGTAATGCATTTTGGGAAGGAAAATGACAGGAATTCAGAGAAAGATGACCTGGAGAGTGAGGAACCTCAGGATTCATGCCACAGGGAGATTAATGGAAAGAATTTAACTGGGATAAGAGAAGACTTCAGGAGGCCGTGATAGACATCTGCAAGTATTTGGAGGCCTATCAAATGGAAGAAGACGTGTTCTACTTTGCCCTAGAGCATGGAACTGAGCATGATGGAGAGAAGTTTCAGAAAGGTTGGTTTAAGCCTGATGTAAGGAAAACACTTTCTAACCATTAGAGCTCAGCAAAAGTGGGATGAATTGTCCTTGGAGGCAGTCACTTCTCCCTCCTCACTAGCGGTCATGTAGGGAAAACTGAGTGACTGTGTCATAGAGAGGATTCTTGGTAAAATTGGATTTGAGTTCCTTTCCAATGTTGACCTTCTGAAATTTTGATGTTGCCCCAGCTACCTAGTGTCATGGGTCTTCCTTAGCTATCTTCAGCCCTCATGTTGGCCGCTCAGTGACAGGAAGGTCAATAAGTTATGAGACAGCTAATCGTGTTATGGGATAGTTCTTGTTGAAAGCTCTTCCAAAAATTGAACCTCACACATCCTCCTTGCAAATGTTTTTCTCTGTGTCTTCATCATTTCACTATTGGGCATCTCCCTTTTTTCTTGAGCTATCTTCCCCTGAGCATTTTATTATTTTTGAATAATATTTTATTTTTCCTCAATTACGTGAAAACAATGTTTATCATTTGTTTTTTTAAATTTTTGAGTTCCAAATTCTTTCCTTCCTTTCCCTCTCTCCTCCCTAACACAGAAAGCAATTTGATGTAGCATATGCAATCATACAGAACATATTTCCATATTAGTCATGTTTTGAAAGAAAACACACAGACAAAAAAACTATGAAAAAAGAAGTGAAAAATATGCTTTGATCTTCATTGAGACTCCAGATTCTTTCTCTGGAGATGGATAGCATTTTTCATCATGAGTCCTTTGGAATTGTCTTGGATCATTGTATTGCAGAGAACAGCTAAGTCATTTGCAATTGATCATTGGACAATATTGCTGTTACTGTGCATGATGTTCTCCTGGTTCTCACTTCACATTGCATCAGTTTAGGTAAGTCTTTCCACATCTTTCTGAAACCATACTGCTTGTCATTTCTTATAGCACAAAAGTATCCCTACCACAACTTGTTCAGCCATTCCTTCCCTTGAGCATATTAGCCCTTAGATCCTACCTGTCTTTCTTTTGAACCCTTTGAATTCTGCTTTCCCCAGATCTTATATATGTGTCAAACTAAGTCCAGATTTCTTCTCCACTATCACAAAGTCTAGGATGGAATGATCACTTTTCCCTAAGATTCCCCAAGATTCACTTCTATTGCAGCCATCACTTCCTCCCTGTCAGTGAGAATCAGATTCAGAATAGAATTTCCCATTTTTCCCCTTGAAACGTGAAATTATCACCAAGGCACCTCAGAATATATTAGCTTCTTTACTTTTGGCAGAGAGAGAAAAACAGACACAGACAGATGAAGAGAGAGCTCTACTATACATCTGGATAATTGAAGTCACCCATCACTACTTGATCAAATCTCTGTGTGAGGCTTGTGACCTTTTCCCCAAACTACTCATCTATTTCTTCTTTCTATTCAGATGGTCTGTAGTATATTTCAATGATAAAATCACTTCTGTTTCTCCCTTAGGATCACAAAATCATAGGTTTAGAAATAGAAAACTTTAGAGGCCATAGTCTAACTTCCTCATCTTTCTTACGCTAAAATGAAGACCCAGAAAGGGTAACTGATTTGCCCGAGGTCACACTGTTAGTAAGTGATCCCATTGGTCTTATTCTTCTTAGCTGGCTACCCCACAGGATAAATTGATTCCATCTTCAATGTGGTATCTCTTCAAGCATTAAAAGACAGCTAGAATTCAGTTTAATTTTAAAAAAATGTATTAAATATCTGCTAGGCATAGAGAACTATGGTAGGCCCCAAGGGAAGATACAAAGTTTTAAGTACTTGTGCTTACGAAGTTTATAGTCTAGTGAGAGAATAAGATACAATAATATCTTCCCTAAGATTTCTCTTCTCCAGATTAGACATCCCCAGCTCCTTCAATGGAGCTTCCTATAACGTGGCTTCCAGACCCTTTCCTATTCTGGTTATATTATGTCTCAGAAAAGTTACTCCAGGAACTGAATCCAGTTCTCCAGCTGTGGCCTGACCAAGGCAGAATAAAGTTGGATAATCACTTCTTTTGTGGTGGATGCTACTGTTTTATTAACACAGCTTTAGATTGTTAGGTCCTGGGGAAATCTGTTCTCAGATGCCTGCTCTTCTCTAGTGGATCTTGGGAAGGGACCTCGGGCTCTGTGCTGCATCCCCAATAGGGCTTCTCTCCACTCCGTGTGGGATGTGCTCACTTGGTTCTTGCCCTCTTAGCAGAAGTGGCAAAAGGCATTGATCTTTCCTGCCCATTTAAATTACATCCTTTGATTTTGGTGTATAATCAGTGTCATGCCTTCTACCTCCCCTCAGAGAGCTGAGGGAAGGTCATAGGATTATAGATTTGGAACTGGGAGTGATCTTTAGAAGTTGTCCACCCCACCCTTTCCATTTTACAGATGAAGAAACTGAGACCTAGAGAGGCTATGTGACTTGCCCATAGTCACACATATTTGAACCCATGTCCTCTCATGCAATAGCCAGCTCTTCCCAAAGCTCTAAGCCATTTGTTGAGCAAAAAGGGTCTGATGGGAGGTGGGGAGGCATGGGGATTTGCCCAACGATTCCTCTGCTGCCAACAGCATGAGTTTCCCTCAATCACCTCACATGTCACTGTTGGTAAGGTCCCATGTCATTTGCTGACATCTATCCTACAAAATTTTAAGCATTAAACACCACAATTTAAAATATGGAAACAAAATCATTATGAGAAGCCGAGATACGAACATCTCAGAAAGCAAAAACCCACTCAGTTTTGATACTGTATCACATTGTGTATTGGGGCAACAGAATTGGTTCTTTTAAGAATCTAGGCTGGCCTTGGAGTTCCCTAGGCACAGTTGAATAGAGGTTGTAGGGTTCCTGATTGGAGGACATGTTATACTTGTCCTAAAGACATTGGAATCAGAATTCTATTCTCACTGTTAGGCAGGGAACAAGCAGTGTGGGCTACTGGGGAGAGCCCCGGGGGAACAGCGAGAAGACCTACCAGGTTTCAGTTTCAACTCTGTCACTGGCTCCATGACCTTGGACAAGTGACTTAGCTTCTTGCCTCAAGTTTGTCATCTGTAAAATGGGATAATAATGCCTCTCCCGTTTATCTCTCCAGGGCCCATTGTGCGGATCCAAGAAAAAAATATACAGATGTGATAGACTGTCATTGGCATTCTAACTGGTTGCTCACTGTCTCTCTGTAGGACATGCCATACAATCGCTCTCAGTTTAAGAAGTGTGCAGTCGTGGGGAATGGAGGCATCCTGAAGAACAGCCGGTGTGGGAGAGAGATTGATAGTGCAGACTTTGTATTCCGGTAAAAAGCACCCTTTTCTCTTCCTTGGGGTATGGGAGATACACTCAGGGCCCTCGTGCTTCTCCACAGCTCTGAGACTTTCCCCTGCATTGCTCCATAGGGGTGATTCTTAACTTGGGCTCTGGGAACTTGATGAAAAAAATTTGATGGATATATTTTACCATAATTAATTTCCTTTATAATCCTGTGTATTTTATTTTACTCTTAGGGGAAAAGTATAGTGGTAGGTGATGGAGGAGCTAAAGAGATTAAGTAAGATGGGGTCCCTGCCCTCAGGAGGCTCATGAATATTATGTAGCCTCCTCTTGAAGACATGCAGTCATGGGCACCTCACTCCTTCCATTCCACTTTTGGGTAGCTTTCATTGTTGGGAAGTTTTTCTGACCATTGAACAGAAATTTGCTTTTTTGTAACAGTTCCACTTGACATTTAAGGTCTTCCACAGTCTGGACCCAGCTGACCCTTCTTTCTAGCCTTATTTCATACTCTTTCCCTTTCTGTATTTATTCCATGGTTTAGCCAAACTGAATTAATATGGTTATTCAATCTCATCTTGCTAGGTGGTAGTGGATAGAGCACTGGGCCTAGAGTCAGGAATATTCAAGTTCAAATCCAGCCTCAGACTAGCTATGTGACACTGGGCAAGTCACTTAACTTCTGTCTGCCTCCATTTCCTCAACTGTAAAATGGGCATAATAGCACCTACCTCCACAGGTTGTTGTAAGGATCAAATGAGATCATATTTGAAAAGCTCTTAGCATAGTGCCTGACACTTAATAAATGCTTCCTTGTTTGCTTCCTTCCTTCCTTCCTCTTCATCCTCCATGTATTGGGACAGACTATCCCCTATGCTTGGAATACACGCACTCTTCTTCTCCCTCTGTTGGAATCCTTTTCTCCTTCAAGGCCCAACTTTTCCATGCCATTTCTTTCATGAAGCCTTCCCTAATCCCACCCCTGCCTGAAGGTGATCCTGCCTCTCAGATTTCCTAGAGCATTTTGTCTAGATATTTACTTTGCATCTATTACATTCTACTTTGTATCATGATCATTTGTGTTAAGTTGCCATCATGGTATAATGGAATGAGTACTGGATTTAGATTCAGGAGTTGCTGTTGGATAGTTTTTCAGCTATGTCTGCCTCTTCATGACCCCCTTTTGGGGTTTTCCTGGCAGAAATACTAGAGCGGTTTGCCATTTCCTTCTCTGGCTCATTTTCAGATGAGGAAACTGAGGCAAACAGGTTTAAGTGACTTGCCCACAGTCACACAACTAGTAAGTGTCTGAGGTCAGATTTGAACTTATGAAGATGAATCTTCCTGACTTCTGGTGCTGTATGTGCTGAGCCACCTAGCTGCCCTGGATTTGAGGGAGCCAGCTTCAAATCCTGGTTCTACTGCCTGTGTGACCTTGGGCCAATCCCTTAACACATCTCTGAGCCTCATTTCCTTCATCTTTAAAATGGAAATAATGATAATGCTTATACTATCTCCCAGAGTTGTGGGAAAGTGATCTGTAAATCCTGAAGTGTTATGTAAATATGGGATATTTAATTTATATTTTATTTCCCTGTCTACACATTATACTGTCTCTGCCCCCCTCCTGCATTAGATTTTAAGCTCCTTTGTGTCAGGGACTATAATTTTGTACCATATTTTCTTTTCTTTCTCTATTCCTCAAATGTCTTTGAAGCCCAGAGGAAATAATATTTAGTAGAGAATTCAGAACTGGGAGGGGTCCATGGATTAATTTATCAAGGTTCCTTTCTCCCCTTTGGATGGGCTTGGGGAGAAAGGGCTGGACAATTCCCTCTCAGGTTAGATTGGTGGCTCAGAGGGAAGCAGTCAGATTTAACCTCCACAGTATAATAGGAGAGACCCCCCAAAGGGCCCCATGAAATTCATGCCACGAGGATCACCAGCAGGTGAAACAATAAGAGAGACTGACTTGGAGAAAGAAGACTTTGACTCAAGTCTTAAATCAGACACTTACTGGCTGTATGATCTTAGACAAATCATTTGCCCTAAAATGAAAACTCTTTGAATTCAAGAACTGTTTCATATTTATCTTTGTAGCCTTGATGGCTAGCATAGTGCCTGACACATCATGATGGTGGTGATGATTATAGCTGAAAAAATCTTAATAAAACTTAATATGTGTCTGCTGAATTGAAATGAGTTAAACCTCAACTTCCTCATCTGTAAAATGGGCATAGTAATACCTCCTTTTATACTATATAAGATACTTTATGGGGTTGTTGTAAAAAGTAAAGCCCTATATGGCAAACCAGTATCTTTGCCAAGAAAACCCCCAAATGGGGTCACGAAGAGTTGGTCATGACTAAAACACCAGATCAACAACAACAAAGCCCCATATAAACAAGGCCCATTATTATTTATTACCTCCAGAAGCCCCCTGTTAAAATGCACTTATGAGAGAGGGAAGCCCCCTGGCCTCTCCCATCAGTGCAGTTTATGTATCAGATTTGTGAGTTGTCACTTTGGGCCCTGAGCAGACTCAGGGTGTGGAAGGAGGGGGAGTGAAGTGGAGAGAGGCAGGTGGTAGAAGGTAACCCTCAGGGATCAGATTGATCAGGACAGGCCCAGGGCAATGGGACGAACAGGGTGGATGTCTGTTGGAGGGAACACTGAAGACAGACTATACAATAATGACAAAATGCCCACCCTGGGGATCACCTGGTAGATATAGAAAGTGTTAGATTTCCAATCTGGTGGTATAGACATGAATCAAAAATTAAAAAAGAAAAACAACAACCAAAAAACTCTTTGCTCAGTCATCTGAAGAATGCAGACGGAAGCAAATTTTCTTTCCTCAATTATCTGCATAACTGTGACTATGCAGCTCTGTCCCACAGCTGGCGGATTTTAAAAAGAAAAGATGAAAAAAATTCAAATTCAAATCCTACTTGAAAATCAGACAAATTTGAGTTAGCTCTGAATTCTGGGGAAAAAAATCTCTCCCTCTCTCCACCTTCCCAGTGCATATTGTTATCAGAACTGATTTTATGGAGAGACTTGTGATGGAACATTTAACAATTTCAGTTGGTGGAGGAGGGGTGGGGTGGGGGTGGGGTGCCTCTTGGCCTTTCTTCAGATGTGACAAGAGTGATAACTTGCTAGCAGGTCTCCTTTTGCTCCCTGCCCGAGAATGGGTTTGTGTGTGAATATTCTTGGCTCTTGGCTACAGGAACAGGAGCCTCCTGTTTCTAAAGGAACAGAAGCTGCAAGCTGTCCTTGCTCCGTTCTTGGAAACAGGGAGTTAGTTGTGATCTGCCCACTAGCTGCTGGGTGCTAGACCTTTCTTGCCAATGATGGCTGGAAGATGCTTTCTGCCCTTGGGTACTTGATCCTTGTAGCCCCCAAGACATCGTCAGGGGCTCGAGTGGTTAAAGATGATTCCTATAAGTCTGGCTGTACTGGTACATGCCTGGAGTCCCTGCTACTGGGGAGGCTGAGGCTGGTGGACCACCTAAGTTTGGCAGTTCTGAGATGTAGCAGAGCTGGAGCCAATCAGGGTGTCTGCACTGCCTAACTTTGGTATGGTGAACCTCTGGAAGTGGGGGAAGAGGGGACCAGACTACCTAAGGAGGTGTAAACTGGCCCAGGTCAGAAATGCCAATCAGCAGTGGGGATGGTCCCATGAATGGCCAGTAGACTTCCAGCCTGGGACACATAGGGAGACGTAGTCTCAAAAAAATTTTTTTTTAAAAAAAGAGTGATTCCTTTAAAATAATAGGAAACACAAAACCTGTGAGTATATACTGGATCAAGAACAAATGAAATCCTCTTCTTGGGAGATTTTCTTTGGGAAAAACCCACCTTCCTGAAATGTTCCACTTAATTAAAAAAAATTATTAAGCTTCTATTTTGTGGGAGGCTGGGTGCTAGGCACTGAGGATAGGAAAGATTGATAGGATTTAGGACTTGATAGGACTTGCTTTCAAGGAGTTTATAATATGAGCCTATGAGCTGATTGGGAGAGAGGAGGACAAACACAGAAATAGCTAGGATATGAGGGACCTCAAAGTAAGTGCAAAGTAGAGGCCCCCCACAAAGTGCCCAAAGAAATCCATGAAGGAAAGGTTGCTTTCTGGAATGGATGAGCTCATGAGATCATTAGCTGTAGAACTGAAAGGGACCTCAGAGGCCATCTAGGTCCATCCTCTTTTTACTGATTGGGGTGGTTAAATGACTTGCCCAAGGTCACACAGATAGTAAGCTTCAGAGGTGGAATCTGAACTCAGGCCCTTCGATTCTACTGTACCATAATTAGCCTGGAACTGATCCTTGGAAGCTCTAGATTCATGTCCCAGATTTGTCAGTGTTTCATTGTGTGACCTTGGGTACTCTTCTCTAGGCCTCTATTTCTCTAGCTATTAACCAAAGATCACTTTTGCTCCTATCTCAGGATCTAATGAGATAAGAACATTGGTAGTAACAGCAGGATATAATAATAATCTGTTATAGCTGGACAGTGGTTTACAGTAGGTGTGTAATCAGTTGGACTGATTGATTAATTTATAAGGGACTTTCACAAGCATGATTTGATTTCTACAATAACTTTGTTGTTGTGAGGCAGCAAGGTATAGTGAAATGATCTTTGGACTTCAATTCAGGATGCCTGGGTTTGTGGACTCTCACACTTATTAGCTTATTTCACTTCTCAACTTAACACACACCTATTAAGCACTTAGTATATGCAAGGTGGAAAGGCAGCATGTTATCATAGTGGGTAGAAAATCTGCCTCAGAATCAGGAAGACCTGGGTTCAAGTCTCATGTCTGACTCATACCGTGACCTTGGGCTGATCATTTAATCTCTGAGTGCCACAGACAACTCGTTATGATTTCAAGTGGCACGTGGGAGTTTTCCTCATAGGCCCTTATACCAATGAAATAACAGTTCCCAACCAAAGAAAACATGTTCAAGGCTTTGTAATAGGTGATGGAGATACAAAACCCAGAAATGATATAGTCCTTG